AAGCAACTTGTGCTAAGTATTTATAGATGTAGATTCTGTAAAACCCACCAGCTCCTAGTGCACGAGGTTAGCTAGCGTTAGCATCCTATTCTGTAAAGTGTGACTTTTGATAAAGCTTAAATGATGAACTTCTGCTTGTTAACTTTAGGGCCCTGAAGTCTTGTTACATAGCTTGGTGACTTGTTTGCACAGCTAATAATTTAAATGTATTCATGTGGTGACACAAGGCTTCGAGGCACACTGTGGGTCAGACATTACTGGAGCCAGTGCTTGTGGACTCGCAGCAGTAGACAACCTTTTCCTTTTTGCTATTCGCTGTTTCTCTGACATCTCACAGTCTCAGTTCTGGGGCTGTGGTCCCTTAAGAGTAGGCCTATACATTTTCAGTGTTTCCATGCATTGTGATCTAGATCTGCTCTCCTTATGTGATGTCACATCCAATTGATGTTCTTTGAGGTGGGCATGTAACTCCCTCACAAAAAGCACTGCAGATGTTGCTATACTGCATATAGATTTTTTTTTTTCTTTCAAATATACATCTTTTTTCTATACATTGATTAACTGGAGTTGTTAACCTACAGGTTGCCCTTTACATTCATTCTGATAAATTTCAATTTAAAGTATTTTGTAGTGTATTTTGTGTCAGCACCACTTGTGCTCTGCTGCTTAAAATGCACCTATTCCCCCATAAATTTTCTTTGTAAGAGACGGCTCAAGTTTATTAACAAACCCCTGTGTCAAGTAGCCATTTAAAACAAAACTAATGACAGTAGGTATATGATTAGTGTAGTAGCAATGTCTCACCATAAAGTAAGCAGTTCTTTTTTAAAAATTAATTTATACTGGGTAGGTTGAGTTTACAGCAACGCCCTGTTTATAATTGAAAGTGATTGGGGGAAAAAAAACAGAGCACTTAAAAACAAGCGTTAATGAAAGTAATGACAAGCCGGAAGAAAACGACTGAGAATGATCTTGAAGTTACAGAGGTGTGGGTGTTTTCACTTTTAACTGATGATGCAAATTATTTTAATGAGACTACTGCACTGACAGCAGATGCACTCTTTTCTAAATTCTTCTTAAATTCATATCACAATAAGGAAAGAAGACCATTTTAAAACAGTGAATCATTGGTAGAGTTGAACAAAATACTCAAAGAACTGGATCAACACAAATACCCGCTCCACAGACATACTGCCTGCAGCTGAGTATTATTTAAACTCGTGTATTTTTAGTTGGTTTCACATATTAATTGAACACACCCACACACAGTGAGTCAGTAAGGTACTTAGTTACAGTACTAAATGTTAGAGCAAACAAAGGGTACAATACATGGCACACACATTCTCAAATCAAGTGTTCCCACATTCACATTTAGACTGGTGACAAAAATGCTTTTCTGCCAGAGGGAATGTCTTATATGATTCCAGTGGGTGAAGTGAAGTGCATTAAATCTTATTATGCATTGACGTGCACAGTGTGAAGAGGTGCATGTGCCAGCAATGGATGATCAACATGCAGAGATGGTTATTGTCATGTGGGAGGGCATCAATATAACATTTACTAGCTTAGCAGTGATAATAGGCTCCCTGGCTTTTATCTGGACAATACATCACCATCATCTGTGGAGAAACAGACTTGAGAACAAAAGACGCCACAGAGCTTTTGAAGCCAGGATCCTGCTGCGTCTCCGTCACCAGAAACTGACGTTGCTGCAGATGATGCCCCCACCCTTTTAAGACAAAGACATAGGAAAATGATGTGAGTGAAGGAAGTGTGGAGACGGTCTCCACAGGGGATTTACATAACTCTGGTTTTACAGGATTTCTCACCTGAGGATTGTTGAGTGTTCTTTAATGACAGCGTCTCTCCCTCCTCCACAGGTCAGCGGGGCCTGGCACTCTGTTCATTAGCAGTGCCTCTTCAGCTGTTTGTTCAGCTGCTTAGCATCTCTCTCTCTCTCTCTCCCTCTCTGCTTCTGCTGGTTTTGACGGGTGTGAAACATAGTGGTTTCTCAGACCTTTTAATGTGTCCAGATACAAACAACACCAAATCGTACAACAATGCACAATAGGCCGAGCTGTTGACAGTGTAACTCCAACGCTCACCAACTGGGCTCCACCATCTCCTGGACAGTTGATTCAAAATTTAGAAAGAAAAAACTGAACAATGAAACCAGCTAACTGGAAATGGTTTAGGAAAAAGGTTGTAGGTTGGACAGCTGAATAATTGGCTGAGGCAGCTTATGAAAGAACAGCTTGAAAAACAAAGGCAACAAATAAAAGACCATTTCAAGGTGAATCAGGAACAGCTGAAAATGTCAAGGTGTGAATGGGTTACAGCAGGCGGACTGGACCTTAACTTTATGTATTAACATGTAGGACCATGTCATTTATAGAACTGCAGAATATTTAAAAACACACCATAAATCTCTGAATGGGATAAAATAGTAGCTGATTTCAGAGAGATACAGTGGTTTGTCTTTGTTGCATTTTATCAGTCTACGGTTTCTTATCATGCATTGAAATAGACCAAACACAGTGACATGGTTTATGTTCATTCAGCAAGGATGTATGAGGTTGCCTCTGCCAGCTGTGCACACCTAGATGTAGGCAGTTTCTTTCTTTGCATGTTCTCCCCTGCTGTGTCAGAGCATCGTCTTTACATCTTAACACTGATTTTTAGTTCAGACTTTGCACTGCAGTGTTTTGATGCTCTGGACAAACCCTGCATGAATTTAAGGCCAAATCCAGGGTCACGTTGCTCATGTCCAGGTTTACTATATTTAGGGCTGGCTCTCAAAAGCCAGATGGTGAGTACAAATATGGACCAGGGCTAATTTGTTGCATGTGCTGGGATGCCTTAAACATCACAGGGCTTTGAAGTGTGGAGTTACGTTTTTGTCATAATGGTCATGCATGCCCATCTCTCTTGTGTTGACACCATGTCACAGGTGTAGATGGTGATGCGTTGGTTAACATGAAGATGCGTTTGTAATATTTGTGTTTGTAAAATGTAAGAAAATAGTGACATTTGCCCAGCACAGAGTTCCCAGAGTCCAAGGAAACCCCTTCACATTACTTGTTTTAGTGATCAGCAGTCTAAAACCCAAATAAAGACAGATTCTCATTTTTAGACGCTGGAACCATAAAGTGTAAATTAAATGGTTCAAACAAAATAGTTGACTAATTTAAACATTTAATCAACTAATGGTTTCAGCAGTAGACTGTAAACCTTGATTTTAGGGAATGTTTTCCATCTTTTCATAAGCTCGGTACGATGTGACTCAGCACCTGGATGAACATGGCATCTGTTGGTGTTTGTGGTATAGGCTGGTGAAGGACAAGAGCACAGCCCCAGAGTCGGCCGGGTTATTTATACCCCCTGTGTTTGCACAGAGCTTCCAGCACTGTGAGTGTGACTTCATGTGGAGTGACACTCTGGTTCCTCCCCAGTGGCCCTTCCTGACAGTTTGGTAAAGGGCCATGAAGCTGCAGAATGGGCTGTCCTTCTGGCACCTTCAAATTCAAATCAAATCAAATTGTATAGCGCCAAATCACAACAAAAGTCATCTCAGGACACTTTACAAAGTAAGGTAAAAAGCCTCCAGTTAATCCAAAATGCTGCAGCCAGAGTACTGACAGGAACTAGCAAGAGAGATCATATCTCTCCCATATTAGCTTCTCTCCACTGGCTCCCTGTAAAATTCAGAATAGAATTTAAAATCCTTCTCCTAACATACAAAGCCCTTAATGACAAGGCTCCATCATATCTTAAAGACCTCATAGAGCCTTATCATCCTAACAAAGCACTTCCTAAGTACCTTCCCAAAGTGAGTAGCAACATGTCTGTACAGATTCTTAGTCATCCAGGTCATGGTAAGCTGAAAAAACGTAGAAAAAATCAACTGGTAGGTAGAAGATGTTTCATGTTCATTTTTGTCCAAATAGAACACCCCTCACTAAATGAGGGTGGTGGACTAAGACACCTCTCCTCTGTCTCCCTATGCTTCTATATGCCACCATTACATATTACTAACTTTGTGTCTCCTCTCTCCCGTAGTGTGTCCTCTCTCTCTCCCTGTACCTTTCTGCAGGTTGCCCTGGCCCTGGAGCTCTACGTCTCTGATGAGCAGTCACCAGCCACATCGACCTGATCAGTGTTTGATTGTTGTGTCTTGTTGCTTTTCTTCTTTTGTCTCTCCTCTATCCACTCACCCCAACCGGTCGAGGCAGAAGGCCGCCCACCAAGAGCCGGGGTCTGTCGGAGGTTTCTTCCGTTAAAGGGAGTTTTTCCTCCCCACTGTTGCCAAGTGCTTGCTCAAGGGGGATTTGTTGGGTTTTCCCTATGTAATAATATTGATAACAGTAAGGTCTAGACCTTACTTTGTAAAGTGTCCTGAGATGACTTTTGTTGTGATTTGGCGCTATACAGATAAAATTTGATTTGATTTTGATTTGTCTGAATATCTGCCGAACACAAGTCTATGTTTAGATCTGTGGAGACATCCTTGGACTTTATGTGTTGCTGGTAGAAATATAAAGCACTGACAGTATTTTATATTGTTTTATTACTAAGGCACTGTATTACAGAAAAAATCTGGTTCATGGTCATAATTATGATTTGGATGTTGACATATTTACAAGTCATAAAATGGTAATGACAAGACTAATATAAATCCTGGCAGGTCAGCTGACTTTGTGGCAGGTGGACTGAAGTCAGAGCTTATCAGAAAAAAGAGTCTTAGATAATCTTTAGACTGGACCTTTGACAACCTTTGTAATTTTTATTGCTTTGTTACGTTCTTAAAACACACAGACTCTCCAACAAATCATATAAAAAATTAGATGATAAACTAAATTAGAGTATGAGATGTCAGCAGATGTAGATGCAAGTTTTATGTCATATATAACAAAGTACCCCCCCAAAACAAATCAAACACTGTGTCTGTGCATGTGTGTCTGAATCATGATTGAGCGGCTGAGTCACTGTCTTTGTTGTAGATGAAATCCATCTGGAGGGGATGGTGGTGCACAGGGCTGAATGCAGACCGGTTGTCAGTGACAACTACATGAAGCTGAAGAAGTGAGTGCATTTCAAAATTGTTCCGCTCAGGGATGCTGCAGGTTGCCGGGGTAGATAAATTACATGAGATCAAGTAAAATTAATTTAAGTAATGTCGTTTCATAGCAGCACTGGGTTAGAATAACAGGTGACGTACTCCAAACTAAAATGCAGCAAGTGGATATTACAGACAAAACAATAGCGAGACTTGGACACAGTATATGGAAACATAAATATATGAAAATAACCTCTAGCATCATCACTATAGAAAGTACAGCAGCTGTTTATTGACACCAAGTAACATCAGCATCCTTGTTTAAAATGAAGTCCGGCAGCACCTTCCTGCTGTGTTACAAAACCTAGCTGAGTTCTTCCTTCAGCATAACCCCCTCAGTGCAGTCAAACACAATGTAGGAGTCTAAAGTTGATATTTTAGAGATGCACTTGATGAAAATAACACTTTCCTTACAGAAATAGAGCGCATACTGTGGACTACTGATGAATTATTCATACAGTTTGGGGGAATAATAAATACACAACTATCCTCACACATGCATAAAACAGTCAGGGCAGCATTTGTTTTTGAAAACTGTGCTGGCGAATTTGCTTCTTTCACCCTGGGACAAAACAAAATCCATTCAAGTGTTGTGAATTCATTCCAACATGAGTAGAGGAGTTGCGACGTGTTGACAGTGGCCTCGATGCAACTGTTAATGCATTTACGCTAAACACTCGAGTTCACTTTGCCTTTTTTGTTTGCTTTCTGTCTCCCCTTCATTGGAATCCGTTATTCCAGCCAGAGCTGGTGGATGGTATCGCTATAGCAACAGCATCACTGTGGCAGATGCACCGCTACAATGCAACCCAAGGCAAACGCACAACACGGTTTGCTTTAGTGTGCGCGACCCTTTCTGCGTCAGCCATCGCATCAGTAAAGACGCATGAGAGGAAAGCTGTGCTGAAATGGAGCCACAGAGACTCGTGCTCTGCCCTCAGGGATATGCGGCGTCCTCTCAGGTTTCTCTGCTGATTGTCTGGCTCTTAAACATTACAGGATTGTAATATTTATCCGCCAAAAGTACATGCTGATCTTAGATTTGTCAGACTGTGTTTCATCTCAGACTTGACAGAGTCTTCACTTTTCACTCCAGTTTTCTAATCTCCCATTTGGATGGCAGCTGACAAATGTTCCTCCATCATGGCAGGCTACAGGATATGCAGGACATTATGTTGTCATGGTGGCGTGTGTGTGTGTGTGTGTGTGTGTGGACACATTCAAGGACAGTTTCAGTAGAAACTTCACAGCTTTCTACTGTAGATGAAGTGATTAGGTGGATTATATGAAGAACTTTGCCATATAAATTTGCATATTAAGGAAAAACAGCCTTTGAATCCTTTAAGATACATAAATCATACCACAATTACTCATTTCATTATTAGTATCATCAGTTCTAATCTTGTTTAACACACAGTATTGAGGATGAAATGACTCATCTACTAGTAAATAAGAGAGAAGACAAAAACATATGTAGACAGTAGTGTCTGTGTCAAAAAAGCTTTACAATGGGTTCATTAGTAGAACCGTTTGTAGTTGATATACAGTATCATGATAATTATGTCAGGACACCGTGCAGCTGCAGTCCTTGTGTGTGACACAATCTCTTCTATTTTATTTGGCTGTCAGTCAAAATAAACTATGTTCAGTGCTGTTAGTTATTTGGCCTGTTGAACCTCAAGGCGCTGACAGTTTCTTAATGTCATCAGGCACATCTGTCAGCATCAATCAACTTGGATCACAGAAAACACAAAGCTGACTTTTCTCTCTCTCCCGTGTGTGTGTGTGTGTGTGTGTGTGCACGTGTGCGTGAGAGGCAGCAGATTAAGGAGTCCACCAAGCCTCAGCGTTTGTCACAGCAGCTGGAGAAAGCCATCACTACCGTCTACAAGCCTGTGGCCAACCATGATTTCAATGTAAGAGCCCAGTATGAAACAAAACCAGTATCACTGCATCACCATTTGATGCAGTGATACTGTTGAAATGATTTAAAGTAGAAAGTAGAAGCCAGTTGTTGCAGGGCTGACTTGTTCATTTTGTCTGTAAAGTAATCTGTAGGTGTTTTTGTGTTTGTGCTTTTCAGTTAACATCTTTAAATATGTTTTCAAAGGGCTCTCCCTCAGTTTTACACATCAACTTGAGTCTCTCTTTTTTTTCCTCTTCTCTGTTTGTTATGCTTAGAGCCACTGTCCAGCCTGTTTTGTCTCACTATGAATTTAGGCAGCTCTTAAAACAGCAGTGGTACCAAAACAACAACACTGTCCCTTTCTGTAGGAAGTGGACTTGGTCCAGTCACAGACTCTGGAGTGGTTTGTTAGTGGTGGGAATCTGATCTGACCTCAGTTTGGGTCAAACATAAATAGTAATGATGTTGCAGTTTTGTCATTTTTATCTCTTTTTTTTTTTTTTTTGTTTACACACTAACTTTAAAGAATCACAATACAAGAGTGACCCTTTTAATGTGCAAATATTCTCAGTACAATTAACTACATGTGGTGGTGGGAAAAAAAAAACTAACCAGGATTTACTATTATGTGCAGCTTTTTAAAAAGTATAGATGAGCATAATACTGATTTAATATTTCCACTATGATGAAGACTGAACACTGGAATCACAGCTTCACATTGAAAAATATTCAGAGGAACAAACACAAACTAAATGCACAAATGTACGTATTCTAAGGTGGAGTATGAGAAGAAGAAGAAGTCGGAGGGGAAGATGGTGAGAGCTGAGCGGCAGGTGGTGTTGGACATGCTTTTCTCTGCCTTTGAGAAGCACCAGTATTACAACATTAAGGACCTGGTGGACATCACCAAACAACCTGTGGTGAGCAACACAATCAGAATGACTGGAAAGACAGAAAAAAAACAATACACCTGCCCACTATCCACCTTGCTTTGTTAAATTTGAACATAACGCCCACAGCGTGACGCTCATGCCTGTTCACACTCTGTTGTGGCTGAAATTTGGGCCAACGTGCGCACGCACATACACAAACATGGGCTGAATCGATACAGCGCAGTGGATTCATTCCAGCTCGCGGAGAACAGCAACGTGTAGGTGCTGATGAGACCTTGAGGTCCTTCTCTCCCTCTGATTGCATCTGATTGCATAACCACCGGCTGAGTAGGAGTCAAGCGCTGCACTCCACTCCACACCACCATTTCTCTCCTAAAGCACTTGGCTAACACTCGAATTAACTGAACTAAAGTAACCGAAATGCCCATTATGAAAAGTCTTGAAACTCAGCACACTGTTAATCATCAGGTAGAGTGGGCATGTCTTATAATCTCAACAGAGACACCTAGTGGTCACTGGAGTGTATGGGCTCGCTGTTTTAGGAAGGTGGAGTGCTGGACTCTATTTTCAGCTGTAACGGTGGTATCGATGTTCTTATGTGACCCCTCTGCCAGAAGGTGAAAACATCAAACTGCATGCAGCTATACTGGAGGGTGCACCAGAGAGGACCGATGGATTGGTGTATACTACACTGATGAAACAGCCAGGACCCTGGGCATTCTGTGTGTGTGTGTGTGTGTGTGTGTGTTCTGCTAAGTGTAAATCATATGGTAGCTCATGCAACACATCTGTCACAACCTGTTTGTCCTGTGTACAGACTTACCTGAAAGAAATCATGAGGGAAATCGGGACATACAACAGCAAGGGAGTTCACAAAAGCACATGGGAACTGAAGCCAGAGTACCGCCACTACCAGTCTGCTGAGGAAGAGGAGGAGAGGGAGACGGCCTAGCTCCAGCAGTCGCCTCCGGGCCCCACCACTGTCAGCTTCTCACCACAGGAAACAGAAGTTTTTTCTTGAGCTGTCAGCTGGTTGATACAGTTTGTTAGACATGCAAGTATGTGACGTGGCTACATTCCTAATTTTCTAGTTGACATTATCACTGGTGGAAAAGTCTATTAATGATGACTTTCACTGTCCATTAATCTGATTATTTTCTCAAATTTGTCTCTAAATCAATAGTGAAAAAAGTTCACCTGCTTGTCAGACTCCGAGGTGATGCCCTGTTTAGTCCTACCATGATTACAGAGACTTCCAGTTTAATCACAGAGAACAGAAAAGCAGAATATTCCTATATGAGAGGCTGAAAAGAGCTGCTTTTTGTCATTTATGCAGAGAATTTTTTTTTACTGACTAAGCAACTGATTATTGAAGCTCTAAAATAAACACATCTTTTGTTCAGAGATGTTTCTGGAAGTTGAGCAGTTAATACCCAGCGGTTGCCCTGATGTAGAGAGGGAACAACAAAACAGAAAATGTGTTAAAAGATTAGGAGTGATTTGTAAAAATGCAAACCCACCAATATGTAAGTTGTGGTCACAAGTAAAGATGTTAAGTCAGATCATCTAGTGTATTCAGCTTCAGTTTCACTGTGCGTTTTCCCCTGTTGGTCACAGTTTGGGGTCCACTAAATCACAGTGCACATGTACAGTATGTTTGTGCCAAAGTTGCACCACAGTTTTGTAGTGATGCTTCCAATTTCTCCTAATTTAAAAAGTGAGAAAACCTTTTTTCTGGAGGCTTTAAAAAAATGGATGGCAGTAAATTAAATACAAGTAGTTGAGGTCTGTATAATAAGGTATAAATCATGTACACAAGTGATGTTTAATCATTGCATGACTTATGATTTAATGCAGGATGTAGGCTCCTCACCAATAACATATGATCAGCTCACTATGGCTTTCTGTGATTAGTTTATATTGATAGATCATCAGTTAAGGAATGTTAATCACATTTACTTCATACATTTATTGATATGTCACCAAATAAGCTGCATTCCAGCTACACAACGGTTCACTCCATACCCATGGATTTGATCAGTCACTGTAGAAACAGCATCTACTCTGTTTTATTTGTAGCTCCTTGACCCATTTGTGTTTCTGACACATTGACAAGCTACAAAAATCTGACTACAGTAAAGGTATTGGAAGGCCAGCAACATATCTTACCCATTCTCTAATTTGTCAAATTGTACCTGCTAAATAATCTTTGTTGTAGTGCAGTTTTCTCTACCATATTACGTATCGCGTCTTCCAGCAGAAACATCCAGCACCTAGCTTGTAAATGTGGCATGAATACAGCTGAGTCATGCAGAAACAGGTCAATATTTACAACTGATGACCAGATTGGTTGAACAAAAATTAAGCTTATTTCTATGAGAACAGGTGCTGTTCTGCTTTATAGAGTGACGAGTCTGAAGTGATCTTTTGTGTAGCTGGAATGCAACTTATTTAGCGGCATATCAATAAATGTGGTTAACATTCCTTAACTGATGATCTGTTAGGTATGAGCTAAACACAGAAAGCCACAGTGCCTTGATCATTTAATGGTGAGTAACACATTCATTATATAGCTCTTTATTTATCAGGAGTCTAATTATTAAGTAGATGGTTTGTACCCTTATAAAGTCACCCTGTGGTTTAACCAGCTAAATCACGTAAAATCACCAGAATGGTAATGTAGAACATCTGTGTAGTGGTGTTGTCTCAGAAGACACGCGTTCTCCTGTCCTCAGTACATTTCAACACGGCAATGAATGTGAGAGGAAAAACAGATCAAAAAGCAAAATGGCTGCAAAATCATTTTCGGTCATGATGCACCTTTTGAGTAGTGTTACTATGGCAACTGTGGACAGCCTTTAATCATATGTACCATAAATGACATGGGACAGAAACCTGCTGCTGCTGCTTTTAAAAAATTTAAAGCCTGTTGAGTGACCACTCATGTCAGCAGGTGTTTTCCATTAGCTGTCAAAGGCCAAACACCTAATTAGTGTGAGATCAGGTGGTCTTAGGATTAAATTAACATTTGAAAGAAACTCAGGTACAATGTAAAAAGTACAACTACCCTGTGGAGGGTGACACGGTGGTGGACATCCCCACACCAAGGCCAAGTAGTAGTGGTTGAAATCTTCCCCTGTGAAATAGGACAACCCTTCGTTTCCATAGATCAGCAGTAGTTAATGACAATAGTTTAAACAGATGCAACGCGTTGTTGGAAATTTTGAGTCACACAATGCCGTCTTCAGCTGTGACGATTTGTGTGCTAAAGGCATCGGTTTGTTATTTTCAAACAGCAAATAAGAAAAATGCAAGGATAGGAATGTTTTTGACACCAGGGAATGCTGGTGGATTTGTATGAGGTGTGTAGTATCAACTGCATATAACTTTTGTTGTAGTCAGGCTCATACTATTCAGGTTTGAGTCCGCCGCTGACAGCCTTCTGTTTGAAGGGCTGCCAACCAATCCATTATTACACATGGGCAGCAAAACAGATGGGTAGGGCCAAGCCTATGGTGACATTAGCTTGGCTAACCAAAGCCTAAACACTAACCATGTGCACACAGTGAGAAGTGTGCAGATGCAATTACAGGCAAAGAAAGGCTCACACTGGAAAACAAAGTCCTGCAACATTTGGTCTTCTCATTAAAGTTGCTCAAAACACTGCAAATGTTGCACTGTCAAGCTGTGCAGCTTGACAGTGGGTGAAGTTGTGCCAGAATGTTCTGCTGTAAAGAAAAGCTTTTAAACAGTCATTACTTGTAAAGCTACTTTATTTCACCTTTATCAGCATTATATTTTGGTACAACAAGCACCACTTGAGTTTTAATTATGATCTTTGTAAAATCCAAACCAGATGTAAAGTTATCATCTGGCAACCCTGCGTCCACAGGACAACACAGTGGGATGACTCCAGTTTACTACGGCAACTATGAAGTCCAATTATCTACACAAAGAAAAATCACAGGGCCCTGCAGTCAAAAGGATACAGGTAGCATTGGGAGAGAGGGTAGGGGCCAATAATAGTTGACTTCAGGGGGGGGGGGACAAAATAGCAGAGGGGAGCTCATGAAGACGGCCAGCACGTTCAAACTGAGCACATGCAAAAGAAAAGAACAAATAGACGTTGAAAAAGTAGTCCATGTACAATTATACACAAAATTAACAAGAATTTAGTGACGGATAAAGATTCAAGTGCAACAGAGCAAGAGTAAACTAGAGGTTTGATCCAAATCCCTCTTCCCACGTTGTAACTACACCATGTTTCCCATTTGTGACAATCCTTGAATCCCAGGCTACTGGGGTCAGGTTCCTACGCTGAAGCCTTGACCAGCAGTCCTATGAGCAGATGCTAATGATTATTGATTCGGTTTGAGCAGGAGAGTATGCACTGCACAGGGAACACATCATTATGCAGTTTGAACTTCAACTTTAACCTACACCAAGCAGTAAATCTTGAGGTTAACATTTAAAAAGCTATAGCTGTCCACAGTCTGTGATGACCAGTTTTTTTGTGGGTGGGCCTCCCTTTGTGCCCAGCTCTCCCATTTGTTGAACCACATCCATGCCATCCCGGACCCAGCCAAAAGCCACGTGTTTGAAGTCCAGGTGTTCGGCTTTCTTCAGAGTGATAAAGAACTGTGAGTTGTTGGTGTCACGGCCGCGATTGGCCATCGACAGGATACCTGGGCCTGTGTGCCGAACATCGAAGTTCTCATCCTCAAATTTACTGCCGTAGATGGACTTGCCTCCTGTGCCATCACTGTTGGTGATGTCACCACCCTAAAATGCCAGTAGAAAACATGTTAGCAATGCTACTACTGGGGGGAGATCCTCCCAATGTGAGATACAATGAGTTTCCCATTTTAGGAAATTATAAAAAGCAAAGGTGAATTTTAGTCAAATTCATTTTTCATTTTCAAGCATGCCTGCAAAATTTACACGTGTTGTAAGGTTGCTGTAGCACTGCTGTTTAAACTCTGTGCCATGACAGACTTTCTTCCCCATATTCAGGCCTCCCCCTCTTAAAAAGAATGTTCGAGGAGACATAAGGCTAGTATGTCAGTCATGCCCCAGACAAACAAGTTCCAGCTTTAAAGCGCACACTCGTATGAAACTGATTTAGACACTCAAGATGTTTGTGCAGAGCCATGAACACAGAGTCCTGCAGCAGATGGTCTGTCCTCCACAGAGCCCTGATCTCAGCATCATGGAGTCAGTCTGTGAGTTGCACCAAATACAGATTTTCTCTTTATGGCACTTTTAAATAAAAAAAAATTTGTTGCATTATTTTTGAAACATCCATAAGTGCCTAAAACTTTAGCATAGTACTGTATGTGCCGCAAACATACGAGTGCTCTAATTACGAGCATACAACTAGCACGCAACCATTGCTCTGTGAGAAAGTCACAAGTTTAACTGTTAGACAATCTTTAGCGCATCCTCACCTGACACATGAATTCTGGTATGACCCTGTGGAAGATGGAGTCCTGCAGTCCGAAGCCTTTCTCACCAGTACAGAGAGCCCTGAAGTTCTCCGCCGTCTTGGGGACGATGTGGGAGAAAAGCTCTATGGTGATTGTGCCCAGTGGTTGTCCGTCAGCCGCCACTTTGAGGAACACCTGTGGATTAGTGTCTCTGGAGTGCTCTTGAACTCTAGACATCTGTGGTGAGGAATGACATGAGGCATCGCTGCTTGTTTGGCCCATTTGCCTCTGACACTCGCAGAAGGTCTTCTTAAAGGACTCTGCAATCTCAGCAGTTTTGAACTTGACAGCCAGCTGCTCCACGACGCCCTCACCGTCTTAAAGGACAGAAAGGAACATCATCAGCCAGAGGACAGTTGGAAAACATCAATAGACATGTTGTGGCCTTATTGGCTAATGTCTGCTTCAAAAACCTGCTGCTGAATCCAAAACTACACCGAAGACTTTTTGTAACATTTGTTCAAAACAAAATAAGTGTGTACCTGAGTAGTCTGTGGCAGTCCAGATCAGTGCATTAGCTGAGGCGTCCAGGGGTTTGAGTTCCATTGCCTGTGAGATGGTGTGGTTGGCACAAACCCTCAGCACCTGCTCTCTCCTCATTAGAATTCGGTAGAATCGTTTAGTCGGGTGGAAGAGGATCTTGAGATCACCGATGCCGCGCTCCTTCCACTGGCTGATGTCTCGGTCCCATCGGTACAGCTTGGCACGCTCCTTAAACAGGATTTCCTCGTCCTCCTCTCCAGACTTTGTCTCCACCTGAGACAAGGATATAACAAGGATGAGCTGTGCTCCTGTAGCTCATTCGTTACACTTCAGCTTTATGACTAAAAAGCACCACCATCTGATTAAATGTGCAGCATGACACAAATCAGCACCCACTTTCCAAAGTACTGATGCCAAGTACTACTTAAAGCACAATGCATCACAGATGACGTAATGTGTACCGTAAATGTGTGTGGGTGAGATACCTCTGGTAGTGACACTACTGGCTCAAAGTGGATGTCAACATTATTAGGAGCCTCCTCTTCGTCGCTGCCCTCCTCCTCACCAGTGGTTTTTGGGGCTGAGGACCCAGCTGAACCAAACACTGTTGCTCCAGCGTTTTCCCATGAGAAGTTGGAGTCTATATATAAAGAGGGAAAACAAATATGTAGTGAAATTTTTCCCATGAGAAGTTGGAGTCTATATAAAGAGGGAAAACAAGTATGTAGTGAAATCTGATTGTGTCGTGGTGCTGCCTTGTTAGAGATGCTAAGGCAGTTTGTAGTGAAAAAGTACAGCCTAAGAAAATGTGCATGTTGAAACAAACCTTTGGTTCCAAATGCAAATCCTTCAGTGCTTTTGGCCAAGTCAGCAAAAGAGAAGCTTGCAGATGAGTTGAAGAAAAGGGTGGAGGAGTCTGCAGCTGGAGGAACAAAATCATCATGAAATACTGAACTAAATGCACAACTCAGGTTTGTATGCAGGATCCCAGCAGACAACAACGGTGAATAAAGTCATGTGACGCCTCAGCTGAAGGGAATATTCTGATCTTTCACTTAATGCAATAGTAGAAGCATTCAAAATATCCCAGTTAAGTAAAAGTACAGATCAGTAAAATGGCCCCTGTGAATGTTATGACACCATTCAACTAGGTACATTATGGCAGCAGTCTGTACCTTGACTAGTTACTGTAGCAGTAGGAGCTGCAGCTGCAGTCCCACTGGTGGACTCTGTCTCTGGGCTCTTCTTTGTGGACAGGTCAATGGGAGAGCTGCTGCTAGAAGCTTCGCTCCGAGCCTCGGTTGGCTGCTCTGAGATCTGCTTCTCTGACGTAGGCATACTGCCTGCAGCCTCTGTGCTGTTGGAGGACGGGCCTGATGCTGGCTCCTGTAGGGCTACAGCAGTGCTGCTGGAGGCCTTCATGGCTTGGTTTAACTGGGCATCCTGATACAAATTTAGGTATTAAACTCACATTATATATTTACAACAAGAAGTATATTTCCTTACTTGTGTATGGCAATGAAAACTGCCTACCAGAATACCTCAACAGCAGTTTCAGTCAGCTCTTAATCACTGTTCTGCACCGAGGTTTGGCCTATTGAATATTAAGCTGCTACTAACCACAAGACTACTACTGCTCTCTTGGGGCAACAGGTTAAGATAACGGCAAGTTAAAATATACGTTCTGCTTTAGTCAAAAGAAAATTAAATGGGTGACAGTTCAGTATTCTGTGAGTAGTATTTCTGTCTGCTTTTATTCTTTAGAGCTATCCATTTTCATCAACTTTTGGTAGGTCTAGTAGTGCACAAAATTCTCAAAGATTAAATGGTTTGAGGGGTGGGGCAGCGGGTCGAAACATTTAGTAACTTCATCTATGATTTAAAACATTTTTTTTTCACCTTCATTGCATGAAAAAGCATCAAATAGCTACGATATCACACCCCTGCAGTGTTTCAAAGCGTTTTCATAAAAATGCCTGTAAGCTGCTGATCAGGATGATCACCTTTATTTGGCCAAGTATGTTACACACAAGGAATCTGTTTCTGGCACAGAACCGAGGCAGCCATCTGCAGCACCAACTCAACCGATGGCTTTAACCATCGGGGGCAACTTGGGGGATCAGTGTCTTGTCTGAGGGCATTTCGACACATGGGCTGCAGGCACTGAGATTCGAACCTCCAGCCCTCTGGTTGGAAGACGACTACTCTACCCACTGAACCGGATACATGCAGACTATGTATTAATTATCATGACTCATAAGCTGGTTTCATATAGTATTTTGTGTAGGGCTGTACCCAAGTAAGGATTTTGTCAGTCAATTGTTTAGTGTGACTAGTCATTCTTTTCTTTTCTTTTCTTGCCCAATACGCTGATCACAAAGGTAGTGTTGGTAGATCGTGTGCCATTCAAAAATAAATTTGACGTATCGGGTGTAAAACGCGTGCCAAATGTTAACATGCGAATGGTCAGTGTGACGATTCGCTGTGGCGACCCCTAACGGGAAAAGCAGAAAGTGACAATCATTCATATATAGCCTATCATCCATCCTCTCTAAGGCATTTGCTACTTGATTGACAAGCAGGACAGCCAGTCTGAGATCTTGTCTTTTCTGACACACGAGTCACCAAATATGCACAGTCAACCACATGAGCTACTGCAAAACTCCAGTGAGTGAACTACCTTGCCAGCCTTCCAATTAATTTCTACTAAAGAACAAGTATAAAATGAGTGGCGGAGCTGAAACAAGTAATAAAACAACACTGACCTTAATTTTCACTTCACCCAGTGAAATGATCTAAACCAGTGCTTTAGATTTTATGGTTAAACTGAACGTTCAGACTGTTCATAAAAACTATGGCACTCATTCATACATATATTTTGTGTGTGTGTGTGTGCGCGCGCGCGTGTAGGTCAATCATTTTGACTTGGTCATTTGAAAAGTATCTCGCAAGGCGAAAAAGTGTGGGCACCCCTGTGCTAAAGTAAACAAAATTAAAATGCGGACAGTTTAGCCTCATGGGAGGTCTGGCCCCGGGAACCTTTCTTTTGATGGAGCATGCAGGTTTTTTTTTTTTTTTTTTTTTCTTCCAAGGTAGAAACAAGACATCTTAATTCTCACCAAACTGAGCTGTCCTTGATGCTGGACAAACTTGTCTTAACATGCAGCTGGCTGTGAGATGAGCACGCAGAGACCTCCAGTGTGAAGGACAGCTCGTTCTGATGAAAATTTGTAAAACGCTCCCACCCATAGTTTAGATACCGTCTTTGCACGCTTTAATGAAATCAGTGCTTTTCTCAGTGTTGTGCTCATTACCAGGTCTTGCTGTGCCTTGCGGACTTCTGTTTCAAAGTCTTCAAGCTTGTCGTGGTCCACGTCGCTGTCTGTGGTACCGAGGCCACAGAAGAAGGTGGGTGGAAGCTGGAGACTTTTGGCCTTCTCCTCCTCCTCCGGCGTCGGCTTTTTCTCCCACACCACTTGACAGTCTGGCTCTGAATTCAATACACACAATGTTAAGGGTTAGAGAATAGCACAAGCAGGTGAGGTCCACGAGGTTTACATTGCGTGTACTGAACACGTAGGAAAGACTAATTATCTATCAGAGCCTTCAAAATGTCTGACATTAATAGACACTACTGAATTCAAATAAATGAGGGCAAATTCATGGACATAACGAAATATAACGGTGTGACAGGATATGACATTCATACCATCGCCACATGCTGCTGCAGCCTTTTGTTCAGGAGGATCAGGGTAGAGTTTGCCATTCAAAGCTTTCACTGCTGACTCGAAGTCTTCGTCTAAAAATTCAAAACAAATTCAGCAAGTACTTCACTTAAATTACATTTCTGTTGGCTAAAACAGAAGATATGTTGATTCTGCAGTTCCCACTCACTCCCACAAACCTTGGATAATGTGAGGAAGAAAAAATGTTGAGAGTTTTGTGAATGTACTGTCTGCTTCAGTGAAGGCTGTCTTTATTGCTGGTGATACATTTTGTTGCCATGGTGAAATACATGAAATTTATTTTATTCACACTTATGCATTTCAAGATGGTTAAGTGAAATGTATATACAGTAATCATGCAAGCAGAAAGCAATATGCACTTGCTTGAATGAATTAGCACAGTGGTACAAGCAGGGCTTTACCAGCCTATAAGGGAACAAAAATGTGGTTGTCATATTTTGGTTTAAAGAAATCAGCTGAAGCCCAAAAAAGGAAGATATCAACACTATACCTATGTGAAATGAAAAAAGAAAGTTTAGCAAAATTAAGCAAATACAAAGTGATAAGTCACATGCTCAGTCTCACCATCAGTTTGGTCATCACTGGTGTAGCCTGGTTCATTCTGGTAGCAGAAGAAGGTGAGGGGTAGCAGGAGCTTCCTGGCTAAAGCTGCCTGTTCAGCAGTGGGTTCTTTAACATACACGACCTCCACCGACGAGTCCTCATCCGACCCCGAGTCACCTCTTTTGGCCTGTAGAGGCCCTATGACAGACAGATGTGACAAGTGGAATATGCATAGTCAGACTGGGAAGGAAGTGCTTAGAAGAAAAGCAGAAAGTCTAACCCCAGGTGTTAGTTCCACACACACAAAAAAAAATTTGCACAGCAAAAAGGAACTGCATGCATTTACATAAGTGTGAGACAAGTTGTATTAGAACATTTCTGTATGCATGTGCATTTATTCTGACTTGTATGACACAAATAGTACAAATACCTCAGGTTCAACTTGAACTGGTCTGTGCACTATACTGTCAGAAGCCAGACTAGACAGGGAATTGTATTTCATGCTGTTGCTACACATCCTGCACTAAAAATGGAGCGTGTGATATTCACACAGCACGTTCCTCTCTGAGTGAGCAGTGTGTATAATCTTCTCAGCTCATCTTTCAAAAGAAGTCAGCTTTTACTGATGTGCCTCCTGTTGCTATGCAAAACACTGGTTTGATTCTGTCCAATACTAAATCACAGGCTAACTGGTCATTTGTCACGACCAAATTTAACTACAGTTATCATTGCTGTACATTACCATACTTCAGTTTTAGCATCATTATACTGGTGAATGTGGCACCTTGTGTCTACATTGAAAAATCTCTACATGATTGGTAGGCAGGAGAAACACTGTAGACAGAATTTTTTTACAAAAATAACATTCACAACAAATTAAGAAGTCACACTCTTGGGTCAAATTTAACTTTACAATCATTTGCACATGGTAGCTGGGAACCATCATGAATTGTGATGGTGATAATCATACAGCTAGCGGGGAGAAAAAAAAAAGATGCAGAAGTTGAACTAAACTTACTTGTGAATCTTGCAAAATAGGTGATACTTTAAGTTGAACTAAAATTGCTACAATTCTCAATGGAATAGAAACCTTCACACAATGGACATGCAACAAAATAGGTTCACTGCCATTTCCACTCCGTGCATCCCGGTTATTGCTTTCTAGTAGTTAAGGGCCAGCGAGGTGACAGCCTGTGTTAACACACACACTGCAGTGATTAGAGTACCTGGGAGTTCAAATTGGTTGTTTGATGTGCTGGTCCAAAAAGCCATTGGGTTATCTTTGAAAAGCCTAAAATCCAGCCCTGAGGAATGATGGGTTGTTGGGTGAAGAAAAACTAATAGTGAGGTTGGTATCATAATCAGAAAACAAGACCAAAAGTGTTAAAAGTGTGAAATGTAAGTGCATGTTGACCAATTTATGCTGCTGTAAATAATGCAACTAGACAAGCTACCAGTATGCAATATACAGAATGTGCAGCATTCACTACAGACCTACTGTAGACACTTTACTGTATACATTTTTACTCCAGGTACAGGTTTACCTTGTGTAAAACTAACAATATACAGTGTAAAGTGTGGCAAAATGGGTATGAAAAAGGAAATCCGATTTTAATACATTTTCTATCCTATTAAAATTTGGAGAAGGGTATGGGCTGGATCAACTAAGGAGATGGAGCAATGAGGTGCAGATGAACAAGACGAAGTTAAAAAAAAAAAAAGTCATGACACTCATTCAAAAAAAAAAACAACAAAAAATAGACAAATATTTCACAAGTTTTCTTTTACCTTTCTCTGGGATTTTGAATACAGCTGCTGCTAGTGTAGTCTTGGCAGGATGTGTAGAATCTTTGGCTTTTAAATTGGATGCAGGTTCCTTCATCTCAGAATGAGATTTAGGAGTACCAAAAATCTTCTGAAGGCTATCACCACCAAAGACAAACTTAGGGGGAGACACCACTGTCTTTGAGGGGTTAACTGGACTCAGAGACCCAGATGCACATGTCTTGCTGTCGGGGGAAAGCTTTGTACATTCCTCTGTGGCCTCTTCCAGAACAGCGATGGCTGCCTTTCCACATACAGCTGTAGCAGTCTTTGCAGATCCCACAGTTCCACTGTCTTGAGCTGTAGCAATCCTGGATGTCACTGGAGTCATAAGTTCCCCTTTTTCTTGCACTACCTTAGCCTCCTCAAAGACCTGTTTGAATGTGTTTGCAGTGTCCTGCAGCTTGAATCTCACAGCCAGCTGCTCAATATTGCCTTGTCCTATTTCAGCAAAGTCCATGGCACTCCAGACCCAGGCCTTCTCAGCACCTTTCATAGGTTCCAGCTTCATGGCTGCTGTGATCCAGTGGTTGGCACAGATCTTAAGTACCTGGTCTCTCCTCATTATCAACCTCACTTGTTTGGTATTATAGTTTTGCAAGATCTTTAGGTCTCCAATACCCCTCTCCTTCCACTGACCCAATTCCTTATCATAGCGATACAGTTTGGCCCTGTGACTGAAGACCACCTGTTCATTTTCCTCTCCTGTAGAAATCTCCACCAGCTCAGGCAAGGGCACCACAGGCTCAAAGTAGTGGCCATCCCTTTCCTCATCCTGGGTTGCATCCTGTTCATCATCAGTACCCACTGAAGCTCTGCTCTGGTTAAGCTTAGCAGGAGATTTGGAGGGGCTGATGCCAGGTTGGAAGCTGAAGTTGAACCCTCCAGTGGATTCTCCAAAACGGAAAAGGTTCTTTCTCAAAGGGCTGCTCACAATGGGAGAGGCATAGACTGATGAGTCAGCGGTATCATCTAAAGCCTCTTCTCGTAGGTCATAGTTATCCCACTCCAAAGTGGGACCAGTGGTTTCACCATGAGCTTTGATTGTAAGACTTGAAACATTCCTGGATGGTATATCTTCCTGGTTGTCATCATCTTTGATCTTTTTCTCATCTGTCAAAAAGGATTTTAAGTCTTTCAAGCCAGACTTCATTTCCTCTGCTTTCTGAATGAGATGTGCTGTTCTGCCTGTGTCAACAAGTTTGTGGGGGGTTTGTAGAGGAATGTCCAAAAGAAGTCTCTGACACTCTTCAAACTTCACCTTAAACTCCTCAGCAAGTTCTGGGCTTTTAAACTTAGCAGCCAACTGTTCAAGTTTAGCATCTCCATCAGAGAAGTCATTGGCCATCCAAATCCATGCTTTATCAGAGTCTGCCAGGGGTTTAAGATTCATAGTAGTGGTGATCCAGTGATTGGCACACACCTTCAAAACCTGGTCTCTTCTCATCAGTACCCTTAGCCTACCATTAGTGTTATTTTTCAAAAACTTTAGCATTCCTACACCACGTTCTTTCCATTGACTGCTGTTGGAGTCAAATCTGAACAGTTTGACACGCTGAGAATAAAGAACTAGTTCATCCTCCTCCCCTGTCACCAGGTCCACCTTCTCAGGCATCTGAACCACCGGCTCAAACTGGATATCATCATTTTCCTCTGTTTTATACATGTCATCATCCTCCTGTTCATTTGCGGCACCTGTCTTGGTGGGGGTTTCCTGAAATGATGAGAACACCTGCTCACCAGCCCCAGAGAAACCTTTGAAATTGGGGTCTTTCTTGCCGAACTGGAAGTCTTCCCCACAGGACTTTGCCAAGTCTGCAAAACTGAAGGTATTGGCTTTGCCAGTAATTAATGGATTTTGATCTTGCTGTGTTTTGCCCACTGAAGATGTAGACACATTTTCTTTCTCACTGTGTTTGTCAGCTATGCTTTTAAGAAAACTGGAGGCTGACCCTGAGGGAGGTGTCTGGTTACCAGGTGAGGGGGTTTCTTTTGCATTGTCCTGAATGCCAAACTTGAAGCCACCAGCTGGAATGGGCACTGAGAAAGAGAAGCCTGAAGCACTTGTGGTACTAGACCCAGACTGGGGAGCGTCAAATTTGAAAGAAGCAGGTGAACCTTTATCTTTGCTCTGACCAAAGTGAAAAGTGCTGCCAGTTACAAAAGGCATAGTGAATCCAGTTCCAGGAGGCTGACTGGCTGAACTCTTGGCTTCAACGCTGAAGCTGAAGGTAGAGGCTGAGGGAGCTGTGCTGGCCATGGTTTTAGCATTGGGTTTTGCTGCTTGACAAGCCATGCACTTACTGACCGATGCATCATTTCTCACTAGACAAGTGTCACAATCCCATTCTCCAACCTTCTTGGCAAACATGGCTTCTAAGGAGGAAGTCTCTTGTGGGGCATGGCAGGAAACACACTGAGAGACAGATGCATCATTTCTCACCAGGCACGTATTGCAGTCCCACTGCACATCCTTCTTTACAAAGTCGGCTCCAAATCCTGATGTCAGCAGATGTGATACTACTGGAGGCACCTCTTTTGATTTAGCCAGAGGATTTGGGCTTGAACAGGCAACACATATGTCAGAAGAGGCTTCATTTCTCAGTTTGCATATACAGTCCCACTGCCCAGGCTTCTTGCCAATCTGGGCAGCAAATCCAGAGTCAACAGTAGATATAGAGGGTTGCCCTACAAATGCATCTGCAACTGGTACAGTTTGCGCCATAGATATTGTATTTGAGACTTTAGGAGCTTTACAGGAGGCACAAATGTCTACAGTTGCCTCATTTGTTGTAGAGCATGTGTCACAGTCCCACTGTCCTGCCTTTTTTCCAAACTGAACTCCAAAGCCAGAACCAAACGCACTGGTTACAGTTTCAGCGGGTTTTGCGATATTGGCACCAAATGTAAATGAAGAAGGCACAGAATCTCCAAAAGCACCAAATCCCTTAAATGTAGAGCCAGAACTGCTAGGTTTTGATGAATCCATTCCAAATTTGAAAGTAAAGGGGCTGGTTTTACTTTCACCAGCAGGCTGAATGCTTGGTTTGGATGAAGAACTGGGATTGGCACTTTGACAAGCGGCACATCGCATGTCTGTAGGTTTATTTCTTACACAGCACACAGTGCATTCCCATTCCCCTTCTTTAAGTGCAAACTGGGCTGCCAGTGATTCAGAGTCTTTTAAGCTTTCAGCTTTCTTCTTCTGCTGAGTGTGCTCCTCTGGTGACGCGAGCACAATTTTCTGGGCTTCCTCAAACTTCGCTTTGAAAAGTGATGCCTCATCTACTGTTTTAAAGCGGATGGCCAGCTGCTCAGGTTTAGGCTCTTCATCTGCATAATCAATGGCATTCCAGACCCAGGATTTGTCAGAGCCAGCATTTGGTTTCAGTAGCATATCAGCCGTAATGTAGTGATTTGCACAGATCTTAAGTACCTGTTCCCTTCTCATTAAGAGGCGAACTTTCCCTTTAGTGCTGTGCTTTAGGATTTTAACGTTGCCAATGCCCCTTTCTTTCCACTCTTTTGCCTCTGTGTCAAATCGAAACAGCTTTGCTCTGTTACAAAACATCTCCTCCTCCTCTTCCTCTCCTGTTTTCACATCTACTTTTTCGGGAAGAGGTACAATGGGTTCAAAGTGAGGACCGTCCTCATCCTCCTCAACATGAGTGCTGTCATTGTCGCTCTCTGCTGCCTTTTCTTCTCCTGCTGCAGACTTTGCTAACCCAAACACTGGCTTGGTAACATCCCCAAATTTAAATGGCTGAGCTACCTTTCCAAACACACTTCCAGTGCCTGTGATCTTTGCAGAATCAACAAAAGAGAAGTTAGTATCATTTTTAGTGCCAAAGGTGAAGATGCCGGTTTGGCTGGAGGGCTGCTCCTGAGATGGAGGTTTTTCTGGAACATTATCTGTTTTAGTGGGAATGTCTGATGTAAGAAGACCAAGCAGAGTTTCACTGTGCTTGGCCTGAGAAGGTGTGAAAGTGAAATCTCCATCATCAGATTTAAAGTTGGAGTTGAATTTAAATGCACCTGAAGGTGTTGACTGGGCAACTACCCCAGCTCCAAAACTAGGCACTTTGGGGACTTCAACAGGTACCTGCTGGCTAAAGGAGAGCTTCCCAAAGTCCACAGCTTTCCCATCAATGCTCTTTGGTGGCTGAACAGGGACGAGAGATGGCTTGGTGAAGTAGCCAGGTTCAGGGAGAGGAGGGTTTGTGGTTTGCTGGGTTACACTCCGACCATAATATTCTTCACTATATGGGGAAAGAAGGCTTGTGGCTGGTGATTCAATTCGCAGAGGGGCACTAAACACTTGTTCTTGAGGAGGATAAATACAGGCAGGTGTTTGCAATGGTGGTGTGTGCGTGGGTTGCTGGTAAGCATACATATGCTGCTGAGGTGGCATACGGTTCATACTATACATTGGGCCCTGTGTAAAGTGAGAGAGAACAAAAATCCAGTGTCACTAAATATATGCTGAATATGTTTATACATGTAAACCAAGGCTGGATGATAATTACCTTGGTAGGGGTTACATTTGCTGCTGTGCGCAGAAGATATTGAGAGTTATATGCTGGAGACTGGTTGTAATACACAGAGGGGCCTGTGGTGGCAACTTAAACAGAGGCAAAAATTTTGTTAATGTTAGACATTGTTTCTGTCCAGTAACTGAAAAGAAAAATACAGCACCACACATTTACACATGCTTTGTTTCTACTGAGAGTGCTGACCTGTTAGGGGGGCCCCATGGTAGGATTGAACAGGAGTAAAAGGCTCCTGTAGGCCCTCAGCCCCATAGCTGTCCCCATACATCTTATGAGGAGAGCCTGCATTCCCTGAAGAGTTGTGCCTCAGATCATGAACTTCATTCTGCAAATCAAGGAAATTAATGAGAAGTGACTTAATCTGATATATCCAGAATATTCAACCCACACCAAAAGTAACGTACCATGATTTTGGACGTAGGACATAGTGTGACATTCTGTTCATATGCTAATGACTAAGTTGTCAGTTCTTTTTGTTCTTAACCTTAACTGCAGGGAGAACCAACACTTTGAGACAAGCTGTTATTAGTCAGATCTTTATTTTTGACCGTTTTCTAAATACACTTCACCACAATTCAGTAAGCAGCCTCCCTGTTCTGTGGTCTGCTCCCATTTCATTGGCTCTTTCTCCAAACACATTCCTCTATGTTCGCCTTTTGACAAGATAAATTCAGAATGCTTTTAAACCTGGAGCGCTGGCACTGAGGTGTTATGTTCAAGTCCCCATGGCATGCTTGTTTCCAGCCATTTAATGTTTAATCTTGGGTAACGCTAGATTATCTTGGCACCCCTCATAACTCCAAATAGTCTTTTCAGAACAATAAAACCAAAAAGCCTCTTCCTAAAAACAAGAGGACAGTTCATGAACGTGCACAACTCCTGCTGCCAGTGTTGTGTCGCAAGTGGACAGCACAATGAACCGCGGCAGCATTAATTTGAATTTCTCCCCCATAGACAGGTAAACACTGATGAAAACTCGCGAGAGTTTGCGAGGTGTATAAACTGAGTTACTTCTGCAAAGAAATACTAGAACATACATTCACCTAATTTTTTTGATCTAAGGTCATGTCTAAGATGGTAATTCATAGTTGCAACATTGTAGATAAGTCAGAAAACTAGGAAAAGCATGCTATGGGCCCTTTAAGGATGGCTTCAGTGCGATATTAGGCCATGCTTTCTGCTCCACCCAAAACATGCTGAACTCAAAAATTATGAAACTGTCTAACTGCACAATTGAGCACTACATAGTTCTCTGTCTTTTCATTTGTTTTCAGCAACCATTTTCTAACACTGATAATGTGTTGATAATGTGAAACAAATCACTGATTTTGCTTTACTTGGACTTTAGGTTTGAGGTCAAGTGTTTATCATATGCACAGTGAGGAAAACATGTTTCCCTGTACGTGTTTGAAGTTGTGTAATAAGTTTTAGAAGATAACCTTGAGAGCTTCAACTTGCTGACACAGCATCTGGATGAGATTTTTCTGGTCCTCCACCCAATGAGGTGGTGTCTTAGGAGATATCTGAACAAGAGGAAAAAATTGGTGAAAAGTCATTTTGTTATGAATGAAAATCTCTGTGATAACTACTAGGAAACACTTCACATATAAGAGACAAATGAATCTCAGATGGTCTACTGAACGATTAACAACCAGAACTTACCAGTCGTTTGGAAGGAGAAACAATGCTTTTGTTCGGAGAGGGAGTGGAAAACTTAACATGAGATATGCTGGCACTGGTTTCTGAGGGACGAGCAGGGCTGAAGTGGGCTTGTCCTCTTCTACCCACCTCCTCCTCCTCCTCCTCCTCTTCATCCATGGCCTCCCCACTCTCCCCAAGCTGCTGGTTCACATCATTCAGGCAGTCCACAACTTCTTCCATTGATACAGGCAGCTGGGACACAAAATATAGGCAGTGGTTACACAGCTGCAAAGTTCACATTTACAAGTGAAAGCAAGCAGATAACCAGAGTCCAATATGCCAACTCATGATGTAAACAATGTGTCATACAACGATAAATGTGAAATTTTAAGCTGCTAGTTTTGATTTAGATATTTTGAAGGTTGGAAAAACGGGACTTGCCTTCTCAATGTCGTCAGCATTGGCATTGTAGATCTTAAACAGGTAGGTCCTTAACTTTCTTAGAAAAGTGATGCACCTGTCTTGGGTCTCCTCAACACCGTTGCTAGCCTCCTCTGACAGCCGCCGGTAGATCTGCCAAGGAGAAACAGCAAAAAAAAAAAAAAAAAGAAAACAGGTGTCAGAAACATTGACTTCCATATTAAGGGTGCACTGATCCGATATCACATTTTGGTGGGACAATCCAGAAGAAGTTTGAACCAGAAAGTTAAACGCTGTTTGAGCCACGTTCTCTGAAATGTCATCAGAAGATATGTGCACCAAGGTAGCCAACACTGGAGAATGCAGTGATAATGTATTATTCCTGGATTACAACAAACTGTTGAGCCACTAGCAGCCATAAATGGGAGTAGGCTAAGCAAATGTTTGATTCTTGAATCTTAATAAATAAATAAATAAATCTTTGGTGTACATCTGTCAGGAGATATTTAAGATAGCTTATCAAAGTTAAATGAAAAACGAACTTAACACAGTTAGGCTGTGTAGAAGTCTAGGATTTACCCGAGCCAAATGCCAGATGGATGACATGTTATTGATGGCTTCCAAGGTAGCAATGGCCTCCTCTGTTCTGCCTTCAATGTCAAGGAGAACTGCATATGCCAACTTGGCTTCCTCTTCATAGCCCTTGACAGAAGATCTCTGCAAAGGGACACAGATAAGTACACATATTAGGACTGGAGGGGGAAAAAAAATGTTCCAATCACAGTGCTTGTTTGAGCAATTCCATTATCGATCCTGAAATCCAGATATCTGCATTTGCACATTTTCTCAGTAAACATGAATAACTGCCCTAAATGTTACATGTTTACAGGCATTATTTGTTATAAATGGAGGAAAATGATTTGTTACAATGTGCACAGATAAGGTTATTTTAAGTCATAAATTAACGCCCTTTGTTACCGGTTCTGTTCATTATTTTTATGGACAGAATTTCTAGGCGCAGCCACGGGCCGGAGGGAGTCCGGTTTGGGGACCACAGGATCTCGTCTCTGCTTTTTGCAGACGACGTTGTCCTGTTGGC